GGACCCTAGACATTGCCTGGGTCCCTTTCCCTCATCACCACTTGGCCTCTGTGAAGATGGCGGCCTCTACTTCCCATTCACAGGCTGCTGCCCCTCCGGGGGTCTGCCTGAGCTTGCCTGAGGTTGGCACCAGGTTCTGTCCTGGTGCCAGGGGCCCTTGGCAAGTTCATACATCAAACAAGGAGGCAGTAGCTGGCTTCTTGCCCAACCGGAAAGGGGGAAGAAATGGAAGGTGTGGCCCTACCCTAGCCTCTTGCCCTCCTGCCCTTACCAGAAACCACGCCTGTCCCCAGACAGGGGATAAGGCTGAGAGGTGGTCAGCAGACCCCCCACATCTCGCTCCAAGGCAGCTGTGTGAAGCTGCTTCTTCCTGTCCTTCCTGAGCCCCACACTGGGCCTGAAAAGCAGTAGGAATGATGAGAAGTCCTACAAGGGCACATATTAGGGTGCCAGAGAACCTTCTCTCCCACCCTGCGATATTGTCCATGCCCACCACCTGAAGCACTCCCTGGATAGAACAGTTCCTCCCATTCTTGAGATGCCTGGGTCTTGCAGACACCCATCAACAGGGAAGCAAGCATGCGCCCAGCACAGGGGCTCACAATAACCCCACACTGGAAACAACCAGGTGCCTATCAGTGGCAGAAGGGGTGAATCAGCAGTGGACCTTCACACGATGGAACACCATCGGCCACGGGACGGAACCATCTACAGCCACACACGAGAACATGGATGGAATTCACAGCTGTGATGTTGACCAGAGAAGTCAGGCACAAAAGAATACCTGTGACACACTCCACTTAGAAGAATTGTCATGACAGGTAAATCTATGCTGTTGGAGGTTGGCGTCGTGAATGACCCTTGAAGGGGAAACGACCGTTGAAGGGGATTAATGACCAGTAGGAGCTGCAGAGGCACTTTTGGGTGCTGCAAGTTTCCATTTCTTGGCTGACCCATGGGTCTCAGTCCCATGGATATGTGGGTGTGTTCGGTTAATGGAACGCGTGTACACTTTTCTGTATTTATGAAATACTTCAATAAACGGAAATGGAGGAAGATCTCATGGTGCCTTACCAGCCAACATGTTTATAGGATGGGGAGTCACCTTACTCCTCTCTCCTGCTTCTCATTCCACCTCCAAACCATCTCTACATCCTTCTTCTCTGATCAGCCTTGGCTCCCTGGCCTTACCATCTCTGATCCAAAGGGGATCGGAGAACCTCTCCTGCCCAGGTTCCCAGCTCTGACCCTCACCCCCGTGGGGCTCATGGGAGTAGTCAGAGAAAATCTTTTAAGCCTTTGTAAGAGCTCGAAACCATCCTTCATCCCAGGACCCTCAAGTATGCTGCTCCCACCCTCCAGGATGCTTCTGCTCACTACCATCTGCTACACTCCAGCTTCCAGTTGAAATGCCATTTCTGCATTTTCCAGACTAATCCCTCTGTTATCACTGCCCACGATATCCTTCACCTTCCCTCCAGAGCACTATTTCCAGGAATGCATTTATTTGTGGTATTGTTTGCTTCCATTTCTCCCACTGGATTGACACCCCCCCCCCCGGCAAGAACAGGGCCTGTCTACTCTCTGCCCTGTCCACAGCTCCTAGCTCAAAGCGTGCCTTATAGCAGGTGCTCAAAAATGCTTGAAACAATGCTAAATAAATGGGTGGCCAGGCCTGCCTGTCTTGCAGGCAATGTCTGGGGAAGACAAAAGTTGTATTTGGGGACAAAACTCCCACTTGTGTAGGCCAGGATATCTGGCTTGTAGTCTGGGTTCCGCCACTCATTGTGTGACTCTGGGCAAGTCACTCCCCTTCTCTGCACACAAGGGTGGATGGAGCAGGGTCGTGTGTGGGCTTGAAGGGACATGACACTGTACATGTGTTCAGTGGCTGTGTGTGTGTGCACGTCTCCCTGGGAAGAGCATCTATAGCCTTGATCAGATTCTTAAAAGGATCTATGACCTCAGAACCACTAACCAAGATCCTTTTTGGCTCTGGAGGTCTGAGTCTATAACTAGTCTATGATTCTCTGTTACGAGAGTAAGGGGAAGACCTTCCGTCATGGCTGCAGGACCCCACAACAGGGATGCAGGAGAGACTGAAGGCCCTGGCCTCCCCCAGAGCCTCCTAAACTCAAGTGGGGTATGGCTGAGAGAAGCAGAGACCAGACAAGCTGACCCCAGGGGCTGGTTTTGGGAGGGAGGAGACAGAATCAGCCTGGAGTCTCTTCCCCTCTGCTCCCGCCACCATCAGACAAGCACCCACTTGTCTTGGGATATGGCACAGAGCTAGGAGGCGAGGCTGGCACCTAGAGATGCCCGCCAGGCCCCTTGGCGCCCAGGTCAGAGAAGATTTGGCGGGAATGCTCAGGAGGGGTGCCAAGCCTCACCCTCCTTCCTCCAGAGGCTGGAATGCGGGGCTCAGAGTGCAGGGTAGCTGAGGGAGAGAGAGAGAACCACCTGAGAGGGCAGGGTGCACAGGGCCAGGCTCTGACAACGCAGAACTGGGGCTCAGGGGCCCAGAGCCGGCTCAGGCAGCCCCTCCTCAAAGTGGGGTGGAGGAGCAGGCCACAGATTCAGATGAGGAGAGGAGAGAGAGCCATGAGGCCTGAGGACAGGGGACAGTCCGCCTAGAGGGCAAGCCAGGCAGCATGGCAGGCAGAAAAGGGCAACAAGGGTTGGGAAGGAAAGAGCAGAGCAGTGGGCTGGGAATGTGCCCGGCCTGTGGCCCAGAGTGAGAAGCTCGGTATGGAATGGCTGTGGCAGGAACGGCAGCATGTCTGCAGCAGGCCCTGGCTGCCAGCCCAGACGCCTGGGTACTCCTGAGCCCTGGCTCCTGAGCCAGTGAGAGTCCAAGTGATGTTTATCCACCACAGGAACGTGGGTGTCACACCTCTTACAGTGAGCGCCCAGGTGACAGGCTGCTCTTTCCTGGGCCACGCAGTCTCCCGAGAGTTATCCAGTGAGTGGGGGTCTGGGCTGGAGAGCGCCACCAGCAACAGCAGCCCCCACTGGAGCCGGGCCCGGGGCATAGGGCTGGGATGGAGTTTTATCCATGCAGATAAAGGAAGGAGTGAGTCACAGGGAGCTCTCCGGAGGCCCTGGGAAACTAGCTCATTCGAATGCAGACAGACATCCGTCCCCATCCCTGTCCCTGTTGCTGTCACACACTGTCACATGCACGTGTATGCACGTGTGCACGAGCACATGCACACACACACACACCCCTCCCCTCCCACTCCCTGTCCTTGATCACCCACCTCCGGTGCCTCTGGTTCCTTTCCCCATCTCAGCCCCAACTGCCCTGTCCCTGCCCACCCTCACATGGCCCCATAGGGACTGGCTCCATGTCAAAGTTGGCCATATTGGGGGAGGCAGGGAAATAGGAGGAATAAAGGAAACCCACCAAGAGTCCTAAGCCCACACCCACAGGCCTAGGTCTTAAGACAAAACCAGAGAGCAAAGAAGTCTTGGGACAAGTCTGAGAAGCAGGAGAGAACAAGGAACTAGGTAGTCTCAGTCCCAAGGAGCTTCACCAAGCCAGGGGACAGGAGCAACAGCAAAAGCATTGGTGTCCAGGGGTCTGAGGTACCTCCCATGGTTCTCTGCACCAACACCAAAATACCAGAAAATGAGCTCAAACTTCCAGAAGGACTTAGTTTGGAAGTTGGTTTGGAAGTTGGAGTTTGATTGGAAGAACTTCTTGGCCAAGAATGATCTAAGATAGGAAGAGATAAGAGAGAGACACTGTGGCCTCTGCTCCCCCTGGTACCTCTGAGGATTAAAGAGAGTCAGGAGGCTCTGAGGCAGGACAAGTGTCCTGATGACTCTGGAGTAGCCCCTCAGTCTGTGAATCCTGCCATATCACCTCTGTGCTCTACCAAGACCAATAGCAAAAGTCTGAGGTGCTCAATCCATACCCTAAAGCTCTCCCTCCTTACCCTGCCCCTAAACCAGACTCAGGCCTCCATCAGAATTATACTAGGACCCAAGTCACTATGAGGGCCCAGAAAACACTACACCCCGCAAGCTTGTCCCTCACCATGGTTAGTGACGCGTGTGACAGTTGGGGCTAAAAGATGGAGTGTTCATTTATAAGTGTCCAGCCCTGTGCCTGGCACCGTGGAGTGTGGCCACAGACATGCCATAATTTGTGCCCCAGAGGAACATCTAATCAGATGGGGCAGAGAGGCCTCTTGGGCATGTGTAACACACACGCACACACAGACACAACTGGCTTCGATGGCTGCGGCTGAGGAGGGGTCTGGAATGTGGCCACGGGTGCATTTGAGCCTCCCCCTCTTTGAACCTCAGGTGAAGGAACATAAAACACCAGCGAATCTAGATCACGACTCAACCAACAGATCTGGGGAGGTGAGCCCAGATTCCACAGGGGGCTAGGGTAGAGCTGGCTAGGCCATAGTGACCCCAAATTCCTCCTCCACCTCTTCCCAGGGAAATCCAGAGGCCAGGCCTAGAGGTCTGAACAGAGTCCCCCAGCTCTGGCTATTCCCACCCTTGGGTGGGGTTCCCACTTAAAGGCTCTGAGACTTACCCAGGACAGAGAACTGCGCAGGGGGAGACCCAGCTATCCCACCAGCCTCCTCAGTCCTTGCTTCGGTGTCCTGCTGGCTCAGAAGGCCCCTCCCTCCAGTCCAGAGAGCCCAGGTCAGGGAAGACAGCCACCTCTCCCCAATGGGCCAGCTCCAGAGAAATTAACCCTTCCCCTGCCCTCCCCAGCACTCCAGCCCTGCTCCTACTGGGGTGGCTCTGAAACCTCACCTGAGTTATTTGTCCTTCTAAGAGTCAGGTCCCCATCGGCCTCCTCCCAAGGGCACAAGAGACCCGGGTGAGACTCTGATCCCCGCAGGCCACTTGGCAAGCGTGGACCCGCACTTTCTTGGCTTGGCTCCTTACCTGTGTCAGGTGGCCCGGACCCTGCCAGCCACCAGATCCCCAACGACAGTGACCTTCCCCTACACCCTCCCCGCAGCGCCTACCTGAAGCAGCAGCTGCCTCCTGTGCGCGTGGCCCGGGTCCCCGGGCTCCCAGCACTGAGCGGGCGCTGCGGCCGGGGGACTCCCGGGGGGCTGCGGGCCGCAGGGGGGCCCGGGCTCCAGAGCCTCACAGCACACCAGGCTCACGGTGCAGCCCATCCGGCTGGGCGACCGGCGGGCCCGGGACAAGGGCGCCCCGGGAGCCGACCCGCCCCCAGCCCTGGCGACGGCTCGGCCCAGGGCGCCTGCGACGTCGGGAGCAGAGCGGTGACGCCCCCAGCCCGGCCCCGCGGGAGTCCGCGCCTTCTCCGCTGCACCGCCTGGAGGCTGGGGACCGCGGGGCCCGGAGAGGGGCGGTGACACCGCGCCCGGACGCAGCCAGTGACTGAGGGAGAGATCCGAGGGCGCAGGGGGCGCAGGGGACTCGAGGAGGGGCGGCGACAGGGTCCTGGACACCGAGGCGGGGGCGGGCTAAGTTGGGAGAGTGAGAAAGAGACCCCCGTGCGTCGAGAGAGGCAGGGAGCAGACACCGGGAGTGAAGGAAGGAGAGACAGAGTCAGGGACGTTGGCGACAGAGATGGGACCCAGAGCCTCTGCATGGATGAGACAGGCAGTGGGGCGGAAGGCAGACTGGACATCTCTGTGTGCTGTGTTTACATGCGGTTCCTGGGGCTCGGGAAAACAGATCTCGCAGGTCCCTGCTCCTCTGTTCTCTACCCCCAGTACTAGCCCCGGGTGTCCCAGACTAGAAAGACCCCAAGAGGCAGAGCAAGCCAGGGTGGGAGGACCACAGCCCCCTAGGCAGCCCACCTGGCCCTTTGCAGGACCACGTAGATTTTACTTCCATTCTTAAGGAGTGGGTACAAGGACTGGGAGGAGGGCACTTATGACAAGCACTCATGGGGAGCCCTCAGCAGGCTGAGGTGGAGAGGAGGAAGGGACAGGGGGCCCTTGTCCTCCCACTGCCCTCAACTAGAGCCCGGCTCCAAGAAGTGACAGAGCAGAGACCCTTAGAGGGAACCCGCGACCAATGCCTCAGCCTCTTTGTGCCATCTGGTGGTGGAAAGGGAGAAAGACAGGAGCAAGAAGAAGGGACTGGGAAGTTGAACAGCAGGGATGACAAACTCCAGGGGTGAGTTCAAGTTTAGCCAACAAGTGGCCCTTCCCCAAGGTGTGCCTGAGGGGAGCCATTATGCTCCAGTGCCCTTGAGCCTGCCTCTACCACTTCTCCCTGGCAAGGGCTGGCCCCTCCCCTTCCAGGGTGTTGGCCTGAGCCTGAGTCACTTCCCAGGGCCCACGGCTAGGAAGTCACCAGCGACAGGCCCAGGCTGCAGAGTCCAGCTGTCCATGCACCACCAGCCAGGTCTTCCCAGGTGAGCAGTAGGGAGGGTCCTGGGACATAGGAGCAGCTGGGTAAAGGGGGTGACTCTAGGAGTCGGCAACAGAGAGACCCTGGAGAGAGGGGAGGACTTAATAGAGGATCTGGGCTGGAAAGGGCTGCCCAGGCCCTCAGTTCAACCCCTTGGTGGACAATAGGAAAATTAAGGACCAAGAAAGGTGAGTGGCTTTGCCCAAGGACACACAGTAAGCAAGTAGCCGGGCCAGGATGGAGACTCAGGTCTGTAGACTCCCAGTGCTGTTCTCCCTGCACCCCATCCCCCTTCCTGCCTCCCCATTCACCTTCAGTTTCTTCTCCACTCTCCTCCACTGTGACCTACTGCTTGGTCACTCCCACCTCACCCCAAACTCCAGCAACCCTGGCTGAGAGGTAGGACCCCCGGGTTTTCTGCTCCTACCAGGTCTTTGATGCTGGGATCTCGGATTGAGCCCATCAGCCCTCAGGGGCCATAATGTCTATCTTGGAGTCCCAGAATCCCTTGGGAGAACAGGCCGAGAGGCCCCTGCAAGAAGGCAGCGGAACTAACACCAGGTGCCCTGCTCCTCAGCATCAGCCCCTCCCAGCTGTGGGGACTCACTCCACCTCTGCCTCCCTCTCCTCTGGGAACACACATTTTCCACTCAGCTGGGGCCCAGGAAAGGATGAGTGTGGGTTTCAAGGATGACGACGCTCTGCCTAGACTGAGGGCTGTCCGTGGGGGAAGGAGGTGACGTTCCCCCAGCACAGTGTCCACATGGTATACTCTGCTCACTCAGAGGCTCCTTGCATCGTCAGGCTGAGAACACGGGCCCTCTGGGCGTACAGTTCTAAGTTCAAGTTCTGACTTCATCAGTTAAACCTTCGTGATATTGGAGACTCATCCTCTCTGTGTCCGGGTCCACCAGGTACAAAATGGAGCTAATAACTTCCTGGGGTTATTGTAGGGATTAAACGCGACAAGGGTGTCAAGCAATGAGCGCAGCGACTGCCCAGTAAGTGGAGCCATGGCACCATCTTTACACGCTGACCTTCAAGGAAGCTGGGTTATCCCCCCACTAGCTGACTTGCTGTGTGACCCTAGGTAAGTCCTGCTCCATTTCCAGGCTCTGATTCCTCGTTTGTAAAAGGAGAGCTGGGCGGCTGAGCCCAGAAGGTTCTTCCTGAGCTGACCTTGTAAGTCACAGGGAATTGCATCATTTCCAAGTACCCATGGCAGATGACGGGGCCATCCTCAAGGTCACCAGGGACCTGAAAGGTGAGTGTGCCCTGAGAGAGAGTTTCTGAGGCTGAGTTGCAGGGACAATGAGGGCTCTCGGAAGCGTCTCCCCCCCTCAGAGGCCTCGGTCGCTGATGTCTTCATGTCTGTGTCTGTCATTCTCCCCACAGCTGCTGTCTCTGCCATCCTCCAGGGCTATGGGGATGGGCAGGGGCCAGTGACAGATGCCAGTGCTGAGCTGCACAGATTCTGCGGCTGCCTGGAGCTGCTGTTGCAGGTGGGACCCTGCCCTCCCCCAGCCCTCTCCCCAGCCCCAGGCCTGGAGCAAGGGTCCACAGATACCAGGGAAGAGCTGCTGCCTCCCTATTTTACTTTGCACTGTCCCATCTCCCTCAGTCAGGAAGTTCTCCCTGACTCTAGCCTCATTCCTGGAGCAATCATTGCAGCCTGAGAAGGGAGGTAGAGCAAAGCTGGGTAGGATGAGACCAGGAGTCAGACATGCTGGTCTCAAGACTAAAGCTTCAGATGCACAGATGTCCTAGGACTGGCCCTTCACGATGCTGGTTAGAGCCCAAATCATAACTATCACTGAATTTTTTTAAGCACTTACTATGTGCTTAAAAGTCCTTTATTTGACTGACTTTATTTAATCCTCATTTGAACCTTCTGAGGTGATCAATGGCCTCCCTCATGCACATAAAAGCATCCTTCCTACTTCTCTGACTTCATCCTTTGCCTGTTTGCTACACATCTGCACCTCTGTCAGGAAGCATTTCTCTACATTCTTTCCCCTTCTCTTGGGCTCAGTTTGACCGGAAAGAGCAAAAGAGCTTCCTGGGCCCTCCGAAGGATTACTGGGACTTCCTCTGCACTGCCCTGCGGCGGCAGCGGGGGGACACTGAGCAGACTCGCTTCATCTACTCGCAGGAGAAGGTATCCAGGGCCAGGCGGGCGGGAAGGCTGACCTCGGAAGCATGATGGAGCTTTGGCACCAGGCTCTTGACAAGAATGGCAGGGGCAAAGGGCACGCAGCCCCATCTGCTGACCACAACCCCCTGTCTTGTTAGCCCTGCCCCCAGCACCCTGCAGCCCCCCGTCTCCTTCCACAGCCTCCAAGTCCCACTACGCCCTTCCTTGTCAGCCAGTTGTTCCTGTCTTCACTCGCTGTGGCCTAATACTGCCCCCTCTCTGGCCCTCTGTGCCCTCCACAGCTGAAGACCCCTCTGGGCAGAGGCCGTGCCTTCATCCGCTTCTGTCTAGCCCATGGACAGCTGGCCGAGTCCCTGCAGCTCTGCCTCCTGAGCCCAGAGCTCATCAGGTGCGGCCACTGGGACATCCCCCCAGGGACACCATCTGAGCCCACTCCCTCCTTCATGAGAGAGCCCTCCCTAGCCCCAAGATGAAAGACTTAACATCAGAGATAACGAAACAAGAGTCAGAAAGGAAAGGCCAGGAAGAATGGAGTAGACGGGGTGGTCAGAACCCAAGAGTGATGGTAGCATCATGATAGAGTGGCCTCCTGACCCAAAGGGCCATGCTCTGTCTGGAAAAGTCCCATGTGGTGTATAGCACAGGCTGATTCATGGAGTTTGGGGTGGCATAGCACCAGGTCACAGCCAAGGCTGGCGATCACTATTAACACAGGGAATGGTACGGCCCTCGGAGCCCTCTCTTGTGCCCTGAACTCCGGGAAGACATCCTGGACTCTCTCTACATGCTCAATGGGGTGGCCTTTGACCTGGACCTGCAGCGGCCGGACCTGGATGGTGCCTGGCCCATGTTCTCGGAGTGAGTGGGTGGAGCCTCTTCCCTGCCTGCTTTCATTGCCCCCTTGCATCCGGAGCAAGCTGGAAGTTGTCGGCCTCCAGCTTCATCCCTGACCTCTGTCTGATTCTCCGCTGCCCTGGCCCTCTGTGTCCCCACTGTAATCTCATGCTGTCCCAGGGCCCTGCATAGGGGATACACTCTCCAGACCGGCTGGATGGTGGGTAGAGGCTGGGAGGAGGAGTGGACAGTGGTGCTGGTGGATGGATGGAGAGCATGATGAAGGAAAGTGGGAGGGAGTAGATGACAGGGCGGTTGGAAAGATGGGACCTCCTCCATCTGAGGACCAAGCCCACCTCTGGAGTGGGGCCCAGGGTCCTCGTCCTCTTTCACTTTCAGGTCCCGCTGCTCCAATTCCAGCTGGACCCAGAGAAGAAGACCCAGAAAGACCAAAGATTCCCCAAAGGTGGTGCTTCTGTTCTGCCTTCACTGATTGCCTCTTGCGCATCTGGCCGGGACCCCCAGACTGAGCGGTGGCTGGGCTTCCCTCTGTGTACAGAGGGGACCAACAGGAGAGAGAGAGAGGAGCCAGTGTGGGGGCCAGGGGACCCACTAGGAGCACAGTGGGGGAGAAGGCTGCTGTTCTTGGAGTGATGGGGATACTGCGGAGGAAAAGGGAGCACCAACGCCATCTGCAGGAGCTCCTGGGGACCAGGGAGGAGGAGGCGCGGGGAAGAAGCTTGCAGGAACAGATCAGGGAGACAACCTGTGTTGGCCATTCTCGTTGGTCTACTTCAAGGTCACATTCATCCAGTTGAGTTCAGGGAGTGACTAGGAAGCCGGACTGCCTGGCACAGAGCCAAGCCCCACCCCTTACTAACCACAGCCCTTGGGCAAGTTACATGCCTGCCTTGTAGGGTCACAGCAAGGATGGATTGAGGCACCCACGAGCAGCACAGAGCAAGGTCCTGGCTTGCCTCACCACGGGCAGCTTGTGGTCATTATCATCTTTGTTTCCATCTTTCCACAAGCATGTTTGGCATCCCCACCAACCTCCAGGCACCAGATTCAGATACCAGGAGGACTCTGTGTCTAACCTCAAAGGGTTCAAGGTCTTGTTCAGGGAGATGGATCCTAAAGAAGCACATGCAATACATGTTAAGCGTGTGGTCACCTTCTGCATCTGGGTTTCACATCTCTGGTGTCAGCCAACCGCAGATAGAAAATACTTAGGAAAAATGATCGCCTCTGTGCCTAATACTTACAGACTTTTTTTCCCCTTGTCCTGATTCCCTAAACCATATAGCACACCATCTATTCACAAGCATTGACGTCATTCGAAGATTTATAATTTAGAGATTATCTGAAGTATATGAGACGATTGCATGGCTTTTATGCAGTTGCTATGCCATTTTATATAAGGGATTGAGCACCCATGGATTTGGGTTCCCATGTGGGGTCCTGAAACAGATCCTCCTGGAAATCAAGGGACAACTATAACGACACAGATATGGACCAAGGAAGATGGGAGTACAGAGAGGGCTTCTTGAGAGATGTCACTCAGCTGGGTGTCAGTCAATTTGAGATTTTATCACAATTCTACAGACCAGCTATTATTATTCCCATTTTGAAATGTGAAAGCTGAAACACAGAGTGAAGTTCAGGAGGAAAGTTTAAAGGAGAGGGGTGGGAGGAACTTAGGGGGAACAAGATCACCGTTGAAGACCCAGGTGAGGGAGGGAGACGGACACAGGCTGGAGGTGGGGAGGAAGGGGCAGGGAGACACTCACTCTGCTGTGCTCCCTCCACATCAAAGCTGGGCTCTCAGATCACCTGGCGTGTTGCTGAAATTATTTCTGTTCTGATCAAATTCACTGTGGAAGGGCCTGGGAATCTGTATTTAGCAAGCCCTTTGGATTGGGACTGCAACCTCTTCAGTGCACCAGGTGAGTGATTTGATGATGAGATGACGGCTTTGGGGGGCTTCTTTGCAGATCTTAGCAGCATTTGGAGGCCCCAAAGGAGTCCAGCTGGAGGAGCCACTCACCACTCAAGCCAGCTGTCTACAAGATGCCCCCAGAGGAGGCCAACCGGCTGGACTTCCCAGGTCTCAGCAACACAGACATGTTCCCTCCTGTTTGGAAAAGCAGATAAAAGATTCCAGGAGCCTTGGTTTCCTCCAGGAGCAGGAGGAGCTTCAGCCAGACCTGGAGGAAGGAGCTCCGAGGCCCACCAAGAAATTCCTAGAGAAGCCAAGAGCCAGCATGATGCCAAAGAAGGTGGGGGCCAAGGAGGCTCAGAAGGAGGTGACAGGGATGGCAGCTGAAGGCACAGGGATTCTGCCAGGTGCAGAGGTTCAGAGAACAAAAGGGGTCCATGGAGAAGAAACAGAGTGGGGTCCCACTCAGAGGTTGCTGGTCTTCGGCCCCAGAGTGAAGACGGAGGGAGCAATAGCAGGCAGCAGGCTGGGGTGGGAGGAGCCTAACATTCTGGGGGAGTTCTGGGTCCCCCAGGACCCGGGAACAAAGGAAGACCCCACCACAGAAGAGCCACAAGAACAAAAAGGAGTGACTGGTATGACCAGTGGGGAGGACCAAGCAGAGGAGCCCTTGCAGGACATAGTCAAGGTGAGAACTGTTGGCCTCCAGCCCTTTCTATTTTATCGAGTCAGGTTCTTACTAGGTTGCTTAGGGACTTGCTAAGTTGCTGACGCTGGTTTTGAACTTGCAATGCTCCTGCCTCAGCCTCTGGAGCCACTGGGATTACAAGCATGTGCCACTGCGCCTGGCTGTCCTTCCCTCTAACCTGACCCAGTGGTAACTCAGGAGCACTCCAGCCCACAAATTATTTTCTTTCTGCGGGGATCGGGTATCAGGGATTGAACTCAGGGGCACACAACCCCTGAGCCACATCCCAGCCTTATTTTGTATTTTATGTAGAGACAGGGTCTCACTGTTTTCCTGAACACCTTGTCATTGCTAAGGCTGGCTTTGAACTCAAAGTCCTCCTGCCTCAGCTTCCAAAGCTGCTGGGATTACAGGCATGTGCCACCATGCCCGGCCCACAGATCAATTTTCGTTGGCCTGCCCAGGATTATTATTTGGGGATGCCTCTTGGAAGCTCCCACCTTTCCCTACTGCCCTACACTGCCCCCACTGTCTCCCTCCATACTCTGCCTAGCCCTGTCAGCATTTGCGTTCAAGACCCCCTCCGACAGTTCTCAGGGGCAGTCACTTGTTCTCAGGTTCTGTCTCCCTCCCTCACCATGGCAGGTACCTCCCTACTGCTGCAGACCCCACTCCGTACATGTTTGTCCCGGCGGTCACCTAAGATTGCCACGGCGCCCTCCCTCAGCCTCCTCCCTAGCCAGAGCCTTCTAGGAGCTTGAGCTCCATCCTCCAGTGAAGGAGGAAACGGTGGTCCCAGTTTCACCCAACTGACTGCGCGGTCCCCAGTCCTGCCCTCCCCTCAACAGCATGGCCTGGGGCCTCACGGGGAAGTTCATCAGGCCGGCTCCAGGGCTGGGGTCTCTGCCCACCTCCTTCAGCTTCCCCCTCCCCCCTTCCATCCCCCAGAACCTCAGACTTGGGCTCCAGAAGGCTGAAGAGCAGACCCAGCGCCAGGAGCAGCTACTGAAGGCACAGGAGGGGGAGCTGCAGGCCCTTCAGGAGCAGCTCAGCAGGTAACCCTGGCAACCGCGGGAGGCGGGGCTCCATGTTCTCCATCAGCACCTCCACGCACCAGCCCTGGGCGGGTACACTTTGGGAAGCTTGTCCAGTGCGTTGCTCCTCATCACCAGGCCTTCCCACCCTCCCTCACCAACCTCCCAGTAGCCCAGGAGGGTCCTTCCATCCTGCCCTCCATCCCTCCCACCTCACTCCTGCCTCCTGCTGCTGCGTCCCCTGGGCCCCTGCCTCTGTCTCTCCCCCTCTGTCTTTTCAATCTCCTCTGCACCCCACCCAATCACCCCCGCCATGATCTCTTTCTGTGTCCCTCTTCTACTCCATTTGTCTCTCCTCCTCTTGTTTCCTGTTACATGATCTTTTACCCTCCTGATAATCGTAACCATAGCTCTCGTTTTCCAAGCATTTCTTACATCCCAGGCTCGGTTGTAGGCACTTCCTCATAGCAACTTTCTGAAAATAAGTTCTATAAGAAGTCCTGTTTTGTAAATGATTAAACTGAGGCTCCAAGGTGCGATATAACTCACCCAGCATCAACTAGTTAGCAGAGGAGCTGAGATCGAAACCCTGCATGGGGTTCCCCAACGATGGGCTTAAACACTATTTCCCAGCCGAGTTCTTGAGTGCATCCATCTCTAGGTATCCACAGGAGATTCGTTCCAGACTCCCCATGGATATCAAAATCCATGGATGCTCAAATCCCCTAGAGAGTAGAGGGGTTTTCCCTTTCTCTTTTTCTTTTTGCAGTACTGGGAATCACGTGTAGCGCTTCACACACGCTAGGCAGGTGCTCTGCCACTGAGCTGTGTCCCCAGCTCTTCAAGTCCCTTATATAAAATGGCAAAATGGTTGGCATAGAGCCTATGCACATCTTCCTACGTACTTAAACCATCTCTACGTTACTTATAATACCTAATACAATGTAACTACTAGGTAAGTAGCAGTTAAACTATACTACATCATTTAAGAAATAATGACAAGAAAAAGTCTGTATGTGTCCAGTGTTGACTCTTTTTTTTTTTTTCCAAAATATCTTTGTTCCCTGGTTGGTTGACTCCACAGATATGGAGGGCAGATTCCTTCAGCTTCTCCATGTCTGCCCGGTTATCCGGCAGCTCCATCTTCCCATCATCACCTTGAACTCCCCCTCAGGCTCCCCATGTCTCAGTTTCTCTTTCATGATTGTTTCAGTCAGATTTTTTGCCACTGCAACTAAAAACAATTGTCGGTGAGGAAGCGTTTATGGGGGCTCACAGTTTCAGAGGTCTCAATCCATAGACAGCAGGCTCCGTTCTCGGGCTTTGAGGTGAGACAGGATATCATGGCAAGAGTGGCAGAGGGAAGCGGCTCACATGATGATCAGGAAGCACAGAGAGACTCCACTTGCCAGATACAAATAGATACCCCAAAGCCACGTCCCCAATTCCCACCTCCTCCAACCACATCCCACCTGCCTCCAGTTACCACTCAGTTAATCCCATCAGGGATTAATTCACTGATTGAGTTAAGGCTCTAATAACCTTCTTGCATTGTTTCACTTGTAAGCTTTTGGGGGACACCTCACCTACAAATCATAACAATAATTGTGTGTATGCATGTGTGCGCTTGCACTGTGTTGCTGGGGATTGAACCCAGGGTCTCACAGATGCTAGGCAATTTCTCTACCACGGAGCTACATTCTCAGCCCCTTTGAAGTTTGGTTTTGAGACAGAGTTTTGCTAAATTGCTGAGCCTGGCCTTAAACTTGGGATCCTCCTGCCTCAGCCTCCTAAGTAGCTAGGATTACAGACGTGTGCAACCACAGCCAGCTCGTACTTTATGTTTTAAAAATATGTCCACCTTGCAAAGACCCTCCTGGATGTGACTCAAGACTCTTTGTGTCTCTCTCCCTGGTCTCCATTGGTCTCAGCCCGCCTGCCTGCCTCTGTCTCTCTTCCATGTGGCTCACACCTGCCCTGGGCCAGGGCACCAGTCCAACCTCCTGTAGAGTCCCAGTCGCTGTGATTCAGACTGAATCACTGGGAAATCTATAGACTGTCTGCTTAACAGCAAGAGACAGGCCCAGGAGCCCAGAAACCTCCCCCCAGGGCTCCTCCCACCACATACTCAGCTGAGCCCGCCGCCTTTGTCAGCAAATATTCCAATGATTCAAGCCCTAAATGAATGTAGGAGCTGTGGCCACCCAAGAATCCTTTGTAGGATTGAGAAAGGCTGGAAGAAGCAGCTGGGTGGCTCCAGGGAGCTCAGGCTGCTCCCCGTGACTAGGGGCCCTGACATAGACCACCATGGGCTTGGTGCCTGCATTCAGTCATTCCACAAACACTGGAGACCCACTCGAGCCAGGCCTGTTGTGGTACAGGAATCACTTCCGTGGGCAGAACACAAATGGCGGCCTTCCTGGAGCTTCCACCTAGTGAGAGAGGCAGGCAGTGAACCTGATAAGAAAGCACAACGCAGGGAACACGACTGATGTGAATTCTCAGGAGGAAAATAAGGCAGGGAAAGGGAATCCGGTGTGTCAGTGGTGAAGCTTTAAATAACATGGTGTGGACAGGGAGGGCCTCTCTGAAAGGTGGTGTTTGCATAAAGACCTGAAAAAAGGAAAAAGTGACACATTCAGGTATAGGGTAGGAGGTCACCAGGGCATCCTCTGCTGTATCCAGGCAGAGGATATTCAAGAGCGAAAGCCCTGAGGTGGGAGAGTGCACAACGGGTGCTGGGAGCATCACAGAGGCTGTTCTGGCCCCAGTGGGGCGAAGAGGGGAGGGGATGAAGGACAAGGTCCAGTGGGTAAGTTGTGGGAAGCCTGGTAGGTCATCAAAATGACCTTGGCTTTGACTCAGAGTAAGTAGGAAGCCATTGAAAGTTCTGAGTAAAAGAGTGACATGATCTAACTTTTTTCTTTTTCATGTCAAAATGTGTTCATATGCTTTTTAAAATGTTTAGCAATTCGATGGTTTTTAGTGTATTCACAGAATTGTGCAACCATCAACACGATTTTAGAATATTTTTATCACCCCTAAAAGAAACCCTGTGCCCAACAGAAATCACTTCCCAAACTACTTTCTTTTTTAAAATATTTTTTTTTAGTTGTAGATAGACACAATATCTTTATTTATTTATTTTTATGTGGTGCTGAGGATGGAACCCAGTGCCTCATGCATGCAAGGCGTGTGCTCTACCACTGAGCTACAACCCCAGCCCTACAAACTACTTTCTTCCTCTATAGATTTGCCTATTCCAGACTGCTGTATGTTCTATTTTATTTATTATTATTATTATTTTGCACTGGGCATTGAACCCATAGGTGCTTAACCACTGAGCCACATCACCAGCCCTTTTTTTATTTATTTATTTTTATTTAGAGACAGGATCTCACTGAGTTGCTTAAGGCCTTGCTACGTTGCTGAGGCTGGCTTTGAACTCACGATCCTCCTGCATCAGTCTCCCAAGCCACGGGGATTACAGGTGTGTGCCCCAAGCTGGCTGCCATATGTTTTAAAAGGCCCCATGGAGCTGGACTGTGGGTGAGCAGGGCTGGGCACAGACAGACCTCCAGGAGGCTTCTGTCCCCCACAAGGGAGAACGGAGGTGCCCAGCCGGGGCTGGGGCAGCAGGGGGAGATGCAACTGCTGCATTCTGGATACGTTTTGAAGCAGGACTTCCTGAGGGACTGGCTGGGGGGGGGGGTGCTGAGAGAAAGATGGACGTCAAGAATGACTGAGTTTTTTGACCCGAGGGACTGGAAAGCTAGAGTCGTCATTAACCCAAGTGGGGAAGGCTGTGGCAGGGCAGGTGGTGAGAAACGCTTGGGAACTTCCCTTTAAACAGGTAAAGTTGGGGACACTTGTCAGACCGCCACATGTAGCCATTGGGCAAGAAGTTGGGTGTGGAGTTCCAGAGAGAAGCGGGGCTAGAGATGTCAGAGCTGGGAAGAGCAGATGGTAATAGCAGCTCTAGAGCCTAGAAGAGGACCTGCCACCCGAGCCCCAAAGTCCAGAAAACCAAGGACAGAGCTCACTGCCCGGCACAGCCATGGTGGGCATCAAGCTGGGGATGGGGTCTCACCAACAGCCAGTGGAAATGCCACAGGGCCCATTTAGTCCATCAACTGTATTTATTGTGCCTCTCTGGCCTTGAGCAGGTGACAGCCAATGTCTTTTAGAAAGACCTGGAGAGACTGGCAGGAAACTAACAGAAATATAGCATCAGGCAATAACAGATGATGGGGAGAAAAATAAAGTCAGGGAGGAAGGTAATGGAAGACAGGGCTGTCACTCAGATTTGGGGTTCAGGAAGCCATCTCCAAAAAGGTGACATCTGAGCCATGAGAGACTGTAGTGCACCCACACCCACACCCAGGGTGCTGTGGGCGGGGGAGAAGAGATCCAAAGGTCCAGAAGATGTGGCCAGAGCAGAGAGAAGGGCAGGTGGTGGCCAAGAGCCTGGAAGAGCCAGGTGACACTCTGGGATTATGAGACCCTGGAATTATTCCCCGAGGATTTAGAGTAGGTGCAATTAAAAGGATAGACTGAGGGGACGGGGCTGAGCCCAGGCTAGACACACAGGCAGCCCCAGGACCCACCAGCAGCTGGGAAAGTGCACTTGGATCTGAGATATGAGGCTTCCCACACTTTGTGGCTTTGAGGCTGTGGCCCCGGGACAGTGGCCTCCCCTCTGGAGGTTGCAAGCCCCTGATTGGCAGAAGGAGGCAGTGGGGTCTCTAACATTCCTCCTTCCAGCTCAGGGCTCTAGGGGGCCATCTTTCCAAGCAGTGTGGTTCCCGCTGCCCTCTGTGTAAAACCTCCAGGCCACGGAGATTAGGACAGGCACACACCAGGAGAGGGGGGATCAGGGGGGCATCTCCCTCCACCCTCAGGTGGCAGCTCTGAGCTCCCTTGAGGCCTGTCAGGGGTATAAGGAGCCACCCCTCCCTCACCTGCTGTTCACTGCACTGGTGTCAGGCCCTAGTGATGAGGGCCCTGTGTGGACGAGAGTGTGGGAGGCAAAAAGAGTTTAGAGCCAGACAGGGATGTGTGCAGATTCCTATTCCCTCCACTTATCAAGCTGTTGTGACTCTGGACAAGTGTCACTCCTTTTTGAGGTTCTAATTTCCTGTCATAAACTCGAGATCATACTACCTTTCTCATCACATGATGAAAATTAAATGAAACAATGCTATGCAACAGTAAGAGGGTGCCTGGCCTATAGTAGGTGCTCACGAAACTTTCATTCCTTCCATGTCACCTCCTGCACTAGGAGTATTGGTCACCCCCTGTTTAAAATACCTGGGTGGCTTCCCACTGATGAGCTTCAGGTCCACAACTCCCAGGGCCCCTGAAGGACAGGCCCTGCCAACCTCTCCACCCGCACAGCCCTCCTTGGCTTCTGACAACACTGGCCTTCTTTCAGTTCCTCAAACAAGCCGAGCTCTTCCAGCTTGCAGACCTTTGCACAAGCCTGCCTCTGGCTCCTGAAGGCCAAGTTCTCATCTGTTAGGTCCACTTCGATGTCTGTGTCTGAGACGCCTTCCCCGGGCACCCTGTCTGGTCTCTGCCTCGGTCCCTCTTTGATCTCCGTCATGCACTGATTAGTGGGTTTAACGATTTAATTGATTTATTGGTCCACCACTTGTTTAACTGTTCCACAGGACCCTGGGCACTGCTCCACTCCTGGCACCTAAAATAATTATTGGCACACACTAGGTGCCGCATAAGTTTTCTCTCCCACCCCAAAGATACGCACCACCATGGGCACATAAGGACCTGGGATCACTCAGGCTGTAAACTGGCTCAGGAAAATTCAAGTCAGCAGCTAAGAAACAAGGAAGCTGAAGCCTAGAATGTTGTTAAAAGTCCCAAGGTGACCTTCAGCAGGCCTGAGCAGCAGAACCCACTTCAGTCTGCAGTGACTGGCCTTTGTGGAATCTCAGTGGCTACCCAGTGTCAGTTTGATTTCACGGCCCACCCACGCAGCACCCTAAATGGCCATGTTTCAAAAATTAATAGCTCCGCTTTTGGTCAAACCTCTTCCCCTCCAACATGCTGAAGCCCAGGGGAACATACACACATGTGCCCACCCAGAGACATCCAGAGAGCGTGAGACCCTCCCCAGCATCCACCCACCATCAGGACACCCTCCTGACCAAGCCAGGGAGAAAGGGATGGGACTTTTTTATGTCCAATTCAGTAGACTTCTTGGAATGTTCTAGAAAACCACTAAAGACAAAAGGAAAAGACAAGAATAGAGCTGAGACAGTTCCAAGCCCGAAATTGAAAAAGAAATTTAGGAAAGCCATATTTTTACTATTATTTTTTAAATTGGAAAAAAAAGTGACATAACTTAAAACAAACAAAAAAAAAATTCAAAGCAAAAAATCACCCCAAATCCTACACTGGTCCCCCCCTCCATACATGATTGTTTCCAGTTGGGCACAGTCCATCCGGCCTGGGTTCCCAGGCACACACCTTGCCTCAGAGGGTTGCCATGCTGTGAACACACCTTTCAGGAAAATTTCACTTCAAAATGGAAATATTTTAAAGGAAAAGGAATAAGGGGGGGGGGAATGGAAATGTTGGCAAGTGGCCCCTGAAGGAACGCAGCTAGCCCGTCTTTTCATTTCTCTAAATGATCGCTGAAGAGTCGCCTACAGGTGTCAGACCACACGTGGGCTCAGCTCAGGGTTGGTGAGTACGTGTGGGTGTGTTGTGCACCGTGCACACCCACACCCATGGACTTCAGTTACCACCAGCTCTCTCCCCGCAGGGGGCTCCCTGGCAGCCAGAGGCCCAGCCGGCTCAGTGGCAGAGGCTGAGCCTTCTCCCTCAGGACTGACTGACTCAGGTCTTCCTTCTGTGCACAGATGTCAGGAGGAGAGAGCCCGGCTGCAGGCAGACCTGGAGCAGCAGCACCAGGAGGCTGAGAGGAGGGACGCCCTGTACAAGAAGGAGCTCGGAGGGCAGCGGGACCTGGTCCAGGCCATGAAGATGAGGGTGCTGGAACTGACTCAGTAAGGACGGGCAGGAGGGGCTGGGTGCCGAAGGAGGAAAGGTAAGGGGTGTGGAGACGGGACAGGAAAACTATTCCAACCACAGCTCTCAAGCAGGATTCTAGAGACCCCACAATGCTATCTTTATATCCCTTGATGTTCCTTTACAGATGAGGAAACTAAAGGTCAGAGGGGCTGACTTGGTCACCAAGGACAGCATAAAAGATTTACAGAGTCCCCTGAAAATAAGGCCTCCCCTTGCCTCCACATACACACACCTACTGCAATTAGGAGAAGAGAGAGGAACTCATGGGTTGAGAAGGAATTAGGGAGGGAGGAAAAGAAACACTGGGATTAACCAAATAGTCACATGTCCCACACCTGCCCGCCCACTGGTCTTCCTCAGGCCCCTGGGCCCGTGGGCCTGACTCCAGTCAGCCATTCTAGGTTCCAGAGGCCAGGGTCAGCAGGGTGCATTCAGACCACTGTGCTCTCAGAGAGTGGGGGGTGGGGCTGTGAAGCACAGCTTCTATCTTTTAGTCTAATAAGGAGATAATTCACACATATGTTATCCCTTGGTGTAGTCTAGGGGACAGGAGACTCAGGTTGGGCTCAGGTTCCATTAAAATTAGAAGGTTGTTGGGAGGTCACCCAGAATGGAATTCTCCAAATATTAAAGCTGAGAAAGACAGATCAACTTGGAAGGCACAGACAAATAATTTAAGGAATGAGTTCCTCCAAGGTGTCCATTGGGCAAGAGGAAGGGAGATATAAAAGGTTAACCTCTTACCTCACCAAAGAGCTTAAGGTAGGGCTGGGGTTGTGGCTCAGAGGTAGAGTGCTCACCTAGCACGTGCGAGGCCCTGGGTTCGATCCTCAGCACCACATATAAATAAATAAAATAAAGGTATTGTGTTCAACTACAACTAAAAAATAAATATTAAAAAAGAGTTTAAGGTAGCTAACAAGAAAAAAAAACACGTACATGTGATTGCTAAGAAAAAAGTAGAAGATTAAATGGAAGATGAAACAGAAGGAAAAAACACTCTGCAGAGCTAGGATGTATATTAAGATTAGGGTTAGAATTCATCTCTAAGCATCTTTGTAGCAGGATCAAAAAGGAAAAGACAAGGAGAGAATTGCCTAACGCTCACTATCCATTCAAAGGAAATATACTAGATATATATACTGATATATTACATGGACTAGTTTTTTCTGATATTAAAGACATTAATCAGATGTATTCAGGGAACTCCAATCTATATAATAATACAAGCTTCTGGCAGAAGCTTTATAGAGGATAGGACTGTATTCTCCACCCCGAGAGCTCACCATAGTGAGTGTAAGAGAATAAACCTTACAATAGAGAAAAGGAGCTGGACTGACCAAAGGTGAGAGATTCTAGCTCATTTCCAAAAGCTGGGAAATGGATGGCTAAGTGGATGCTGTACGAAGCCCCAGGTAGCCCTCGAAGACCTGGAGATCCCAGGACCCCGTGGTGAAGGAAGAGGAGGGGATAAACTCATTAGTGAGAGGAGTGTATGTCCCCCTCCTCTGCCTGCCTCCCCACCCGCAGAATACCCAGCAGCAGACACCTTTTCTCCAAAGCAAATAATCGACAGGTCCTCTCTCAAGAAATTTAGGTGTCCCAAGTAGAAGACCAGATTGTAGTGGCATTTGGGAGTCTAGTACACTAGGTAACTCCCTGCCAAGTGCCCTTGAAAGGGAAGCCACCTGTCAATCAGCCCTGTCCAATACCTGGAGCACCAACCCGCTTCCGTTGCCTCTTTCTCAAACATAAAATGACAACCAAGGCTTTGAGGAGAGTCTAGAACACAAAAGGGAGAGAGGAAAATAAACAAACCAAGGACAAAGTGTCTCCCCTGAAACAAGGTGCTGTGAAAGAGACATGTTCTCGGAAATTAAAAATATGGTTGCTAAATACATCTTAATATTCACTTAAAAGAATCGAAAGAGAAAGATGAGGCAGTCTCTCAGAAAGAATGGAAAGCACAGAAAGTTGGAATTCATGGGAGAATTAGAGACATAAAGAATCAGTCTAACAGTTCCAATATCCTCACCAACTAACAGAAGTTCCTAAAAAGGAGAGTAAAAACAATGGTCAGTGTCAAATAAAATTTGACAAAGGTAAAAATGTGAATTTCCAGGCTCTCACAGACACAGATCTTCAGATGTAAAGATTTCCCTGAAAGATCAGCACAAGAAATGAAAAACAAAACATAAAACAAACTAAACCTACACTTAGATATAATCGTGAGAAATTTCAGTCAAACAAAGATAAAGAAAATATTTCCAAACTGTTTAGAGGAAACCACAAGTCACATATAAAAGAAGTAGAACCCAATGCAGGCCAAGAGTCCATGACATAATACTTCAAGTTCTAAGAAAAGCTGACTTTTGCCCTAGAATTCCAGGCTCAGCCAAACCTTGAATTAAGTGGGGAAGGAATTGGAGAAAGACATTTATCAGACAGAAAGGTATTAGAAAATGCACCTCCCACACAGCCTTTCATAGGAAGTTAGTTGAGGATGTGTTCCAGGAAAACAAGGAAGTAAGCAAAGAAAGGAGAAGATGTGGAATTCAGGGAACAAAAGTTCTAGCCTAGGAGAAAAGGAAAGGAAATTCCCAAGAAGACAAGTGGGCAGCAAGTTCAGGGAGCTCTCTAGGTTGTAAGAGAGGAATCTAGAAGAAGGTCTCTGGGGAAGAGAAGCAAAAGTGTATTTGCTATGGTAGAGAATTGTTGGAAGGGCATTATAGGTAAAGGGAATTCATGCAAAGAATAAAGAAAGGCAGTTAAAAACTCTGAGAAAAATAAGTCTTTCAAGAATGGAAATATTAGGGAGCTGGGTACAGTTGGCACATGCCTGTAATCCCAGCAGCTCAGGAGGCTGAGACAGTAGGATCTTGAGTTCAAAGCCAGCCTCAGCAATGGCGAGGTGTTAAGCAACTCAGTGAGACTCTGTCTCTAAATAAAACACAAAATAGGGCTGGGGATGTGGCTCAGTGGTTGAGTGCCCCTGAGTTCAATCCCTGAGACAGAAGGACCACATATTCAACGCCAGCCTGGACAACTTAGAGAGATTCTGTTTCAAAATAAAAATAGAAAGGGCTGGGATATATCTCAGTGGTAGGGTGCTTGCTTAGCATTCACAAGGCCCTGGATCCAATCCCCAGTGCTGAATGAATGAATGAGTTAATTAATAAATCATAGAACACAACTTATAAATGATAGAACACAACTTATAAATTACAGAATATAATTCTTTGGGACATAATATGTATATATATTATCTAATAATGTAAACGCAATTCTTTATCTTTTTTTCAACCTTAGAATCAAATTAAAGACAAAGCACAGGAGACAATTATAGAAACAAAACATGAATGTTATCACCTTAACAACATTAAGTATAGAGGAGAATCCAATAAAGGTTCTGTGAAGACAAAATGTTTGATATTTGTGTTGACTCCGTGGTAGCCACAGATCACATGTTGAGATGGGGCACCTGAAATATTGATCCGGTGCAACACAGGAATGAAGGTTTTCATTTTACTTAATTTTAACTCAGTTAGACACATGTGGCAAGTGGCTACCATATTGTATGTTTCAGGAATAGAAGACAAGTTAGGAAGAGAAGGAAGGAGAAGAGATGAGGGAAGGGATAAGGGCAACATCATATTACCAAACGGGAGTCATAGATAGAATGAGATAAAAATATGTGAGTACATTCTGGAAACTTCTAATGGTAACCAACAGAGGAACCAAAAATAGGGATATAACTCCATTGGGGGAAGGAAGAGAAACTGGCAAGGATGGTAATAAATAAGCTAAATGCTCTGCTGTCAAGGTAAGGGCCCCAGAACAACTATTTTCTACTGAAGGAGGGAGATATGGAAGTTAATACCAAAAAGAAAAAAAAAAAACCTGCAAGAATGAGTTTCCACTGAAAACAGAAAGGAGGGGGAGGTGCCAGTGTCTTTTAATATGTGCCCTCTGTGCTATTTGAGTTTTAAAATGTGTATATGTATTATTTTCACAAAATTTTAAAACAACTGATATTTCTAAACATCCTTTAAAAAAAAACAGTGAAGATAGTTTTGCAAGGGCACAGATAAATATATGCCAGTTTGTTTCAAGTGCCAAATAAAAGGTGAAGTGGGCCTTAAATGCTGTAGGCACCTGGAGCCAGGCCCACAGGGGCTTCTGTGACCAAGGGGTGCACTGGGAGGAGGTGAAGGGGTTCTTGGTCTGGGTCACGTTCTGCTGGGAGCCGGGAGCTGGGTGTCACCATCCAGATTCTCCAAGAATGAACTAACCCAGCTCTGGTGTGTCTCACTCCTGTTCACTTCTCCCCGTCACCGTTTGTCTCCGTGTGTGCCTGCATCTGTGTCCTCTGTCTTTCTCTCCCTCTACATTTGTGTCTCTCTCCTTCTCTGTGCATCCGTCCCCTCTCCAACTCTCCAACGTCCTTTCTCTCTCTGGATGTCTCCCATCATCCACTTCCCTCTTCATTTCTGTCCCCCTGCCCCTTGTCCCCATCTCACTTTGTCTTTCTGTGTACCTGGGTACACCTGCCTCTGTCACTCTCTCCATCCCCCTCTTCCTCCTTCTTTGCCTCCATGTTCCTCTTTCTGCCCCTCTCTGTCCCTCCATCCGGGTCATCTCCTCCTTCCTGTCTCTCTGTCTGCCTCTGCCTCCGCCCTGTCCCTGTCCATCAGTGAGAAGGACCGCCAGTGGCAGAGGCTGCAGCAGCTCTCCTCCGTGGTGCCCGCCATCTGTGTTGGCTGCGGCAAGGTCTTCAGCAGGCTGTCCCGGCGGTATCCCTGCAGGTACCAGGAAGGACACAGACTCCTTCCTCTGGGACAGTCCACTTTCCACCAGCCCACAGTCCCCTCTGCACCCTAAGGAGAGAAGAAACAAAGGAATTGGACATTTATAAAAGGCCACTTACACCTGGCCACTCGTTCACCCCACCTGGCCTTGGACACTAAGCTGTCATGATCTAGAACATGGGGAAGGGGCCAGAGAGGGAATGGGTCCTGGGTGAGAGGGTTGTATAATCTTCAAAGGACAGACCATGGCCTCCTCATCTGGGAAAAGGGTTCCTGCCCCGAGCGAGCTGCTCTCCTTACCTTCCTCTGCCATCACTGTGGCAGGACAAGCAGAGCAAGAGGGGGACATGAGCCATCAGGAGAATCTGCCACTTGGAGTTGAGGGTCCAGGGAGGTCAGGCATCAGAAATCCCTTTAGGAAAGGGGAGACTTCTGAGACAGCCCAAGGGCCATCCTGCTGGGAGATGGGAAGCCCTGGCACAAACCCCCGTGCTTCCTCGGCCAGCTGCAGCGTCCACCCCAGGTTGCCCTGTCTCTGCTCCCCAGGCTCTGCGGAGGCCTGGTATGTCATGCCTGCTCTGCGGATTACAAGAAGAAGGAGCGCCGCTGCCCACCGTGTGCCCAGGGAGGAGAATCCCAGGTCACCTGAAAGAGCAACCCAGGATCAGCCACCCCGCACCTACAACCCCACCCCAGTCCTCTCCCTTCCCTGCCTCTTCCAAGTCCTCTGGTCTGTCGGGCCTCATGTTCTAGAAGCTGGTGAGCAAAGCAAAGCTGGTGCCGCACCCCAGTGTAGGGACAGCGGCAGCCAGGGTGACAGTCTGAAGACATTTCTAGCCCTGCATGTCCCACATGGATGATCAGAGTAGCACATGCCCCTGGCTCTCAGGGCTTTGCCACTAATGTGAGGGAGGTGGCCTACAGCCTGTCTACAAAGTCCTTCAAGGCACAGAAAATCCATGGCCATACTTAAAAGCCCAGGCCCTGATGGTTCCCCAGAACCTCCCCCCATCACCCAGCTGCGCTGCCTACCCCATGCACAAGGAGTGAAGCTTGCACAGATGCCGCTTCTGTAGTAGCTTCTGGTCTAATCTGCTTCACGGATCTGTGTTTGATTCCTTTTGTTTTAACTTTAACAGATTTACTGAGGTGCTACTGACATATAATAAACGTGATGGAATTTTTGCATTTTGAAAAATCTGAGAAACTGTCACCACAGTCACTTCCATGTCCATCAGCCCCAAGGTTTGCTCACACCCTTTCATGATCACTGTCCCTCCAAGCCCAGAACACCACCAGCCCTGCTTCCTGTCACCCCAGACTAATATGTATTTTCTAGAATGCTATATAAATGAAACCATACACTATTTCCTCTCCCTTGTCTGCATTCCTTCATTCAGCATCATTATTTTGAGATTCATCCAGGTTCTTGCAAATATCAATAGTTCTTTTCTATTATATTCTATTCGGCCGAATGGACATGCCTCAATTTGTTTATGCGCTCACCTGTTGCTTCACGCTGGAGTGGTTTCCAACTTTATTACAAATAAGGTTCCTCTAAGCAGCTGTGCAGGCATGCAGCTCTCTGTCACTTGCTGTCAACAGTATGGAGACTTGATGGGCCCCTAGCTAATAGTGCCTGGAAGGAGGGACTGAGTCCAGGGGACTGTGCCATTCTCACCCAGCCAGACTTTGATGAAGGCAGTGGACAGGTTGACCTCTGGGTAAGATCATTTCCCCTGTACTATCCAAGAAGTCTTATGCAATGGGTATGTCATTCACTAATTGTGGTGTTTCTGAGAACACTGTTTCAGAAGCGTGGGCCCCACTTTATGACAAGGCAATCAGCTGCGCTTCCCTGGTTCTAGGGCACACTGAGTGCCCCAGACAGTCCATGCTGTCCCCATCTGCTCTGCCTTACATAGCCTCTGCAGTCATTGTGCAATTCTGTGGCTCTGACCAGAGCTCGTGGATGGCCTCTCGGGGTCACCAGAGTTGCATCCTGTTGCCTTCACATGGAGCAAGAGTTTTGCAACAGCAGTTTCTGCCCTGGAGAGCTGATGAGAACTTCTCTTTGACAAACGCTGTAACAAGGTGTCCGAGGGTAGTAGGAGCTCCAAGAGCAGTCAAGGTAGCAGATTCACCCTAAAGCGGAGCAGTTCCTTCTGGAGAACTGACTGACCCACACAAATTTGGCAGAAAAAAAAATTTGTATTAGCAGGAATTCCAGCACACGGAATTCAGACCTTCCTGGTAAACTGATGAGGGTGAGGTCACCAGCAGAAGCCCATTTTCAAAGAAGAAGCAAGATGCTCTTGGAAGAGAACCCATCACAGGGGAATCTAGGGCCAGGATGGGGGGGAACTTAACCTCTTCCCCATTTGGAAAAAGGAAAAGGCAATGCTGAGTACCAGCCTCGAGCTCAACGTTGCCCCCTGCAGAATTCAGTGGAGAGCAAAAAAGCTCTAAATAAGAATCAGAAAATTTTGTTACACTCTGTGGACCTTGTAGCAGAGGGTTCCACAGTGGTCACTTTAGACTACCCCATCAGCTGCCACTGTAAGTGGCCCCAGGGCACATTTCCAGCTATAGCAGTGTCCACAGGAACACGTGGGAGACACCCCCACAGACTCCCCCAAATCCCTGAGGAGTCTCTGCAGGGACTGAAGCCCTGCGTGAGCGTGTGGAGTCTAGGACGGATAGAGAATGTTGTTGTCATGATTTCATTTGTGCTCATAATCTAGGGATGCCCTGGGAAATCTGGGCAACGAAATTACATGGTTTTTAAAATTAGATGACAACAAGATATCCCCAGGCATATCAGTTTCTCCAAACTGTTGAGGCTTTTCATTATCAATAAACAAAAATGTATTAAGTATTCATAATATACTTCACACTGCGGTTGGTTTGGAGACATGAGATAAATATATATATATATATATAAAATCACTGCCTTCAAGACATGGAAGAGGAAGCAGCCAAACAGATGATTGACTACAAACCCCATAACAACCCTATGCAGTGTGTCTTCCCAGCTGGATGTGGTGGCTCGTGCCTGTAATCCCAGTGACTCAGGAGCCTGAGACAGGAGGATCGCAAGTTTGAAGCCAGCCTGGGCAACTTAACAAGACCCTGTCTCAAAATTAAAAAAAAAAAAAATAGGGCTGGAAATGTAGCTCAGTGGTAGAGAGAGTGTTTGCCTAGCATGGGCAAGGTCCTGGGTTCAATCCCCAGTGCCAGGGTGGGATGGGGGGACAAAAAAACACCTGGTTGAAAGCAGAAAGAAAATGGAGAGTTAGTCAGCCAGACGAAATGGCTGAGGAAGAGCATTCCAAGGACAGGGAAAGCAGGCCAAGATCCCAAGAGAAAGAGAACAGCCCCCGGGGAACTGACAGCAAGCGACTCCCAGTGACTAGCATTAAGGGTTCTGGGGCACGTTCTGAGGTAATGGGGCTGCAGAAGTAATAAGGATCAGCTGCAGGGACACAGTGTGCCCAGCTCAGAGCTGTACCCAAGGGCAACAAGGATCCTTGAAGGGTTTTACAAGGAAAAGAAGGTGATCAAATTCACATTGTGGAAAGGTCATTCTGTGAGCAGAGTGGAGGGTGAATTGAAGAGGGAAAGGCGTGAGGCGGAGATGACTTCGTGCTCTCAATCAATCCCCATAACAACCCTATGCAGTGTGTCTTCTCATTATGCCTATTTTACAGATGATGAAACAGAGATGCAGTGAGATTAGAACTCCCGCCCAAGGTTCACAACTAGGAAGCAGCTTCTAACTCAGCCAACCCAGCTCCAGAGCCCATGAGCATTGCATGAATGTTTTTTTTAATTTTTTATTGATTTTATTTTTTTAATACATGACAGCGGTGGAATGCATTACAATTCTTATTACACATATAGGGCACAATTTTTCATATCTCTGTATATAAAGTATGTTCAAAGTATGTATATAAAGTATGTTCAAAGGCCAATTTAAGCCTTTATACATGTACTTTGTGTTTTTTGCATTACAATTCTTAATACACATATATATCACAATTTTTCATATCTCTGTTTATATACAAAGTACGTTGACACCCAATTCAAGTCCTCATACATGTACTTTGGATAATGATGTCCATCACATTCCACCATCCTTGCTAATCCCCTGCCCCCTCCCTTTCCCTCCCACCCCTCTGCCCTATCTAGAATTCATCTAATCCTCCCATGCTCCCCCCCCCACCCCACTATGAGTCAATCTCCTTATATCAGAGAAAACATCAGCATTTGTTTTTGGGGGATTGGCTGACTTCACTTAGCATTATCTTCTCCAATGCCATCCATTTACCTGCAAATGCCATGATTTTGTTCTTTTTTAATGCAGAGTAAAATTCCATTGTGTATATATGCCACTATTGTACATTGAGTGTTCTCTAATGTCATGGGATAGTGAGGAGGAGACAGACAAGAGCAACACTGAGGAGAGGAATGCCTTGCTAGTAGGAACCAATGGGAACAGGAGACACCGGCCCCTAAGGCACTAGCTGAAGCTTGGGAGGCAGGCGGACTTACCCTCGGGAGAGGAGAAAGGCCCAGGGTAGAAGACTGGGGAACACCCATATTTGAGGATGAATTGAGATATAAAGCAACAAATGAACCAAGAGAAATTTATGGGAAATAAATTCAGTGACACAGAGATCAAGGTAAGACCCACACAGTCAGTTTTTCACTGTAGTGTTTAAAAGCATACTATAGAGCCTGGGGGTGTCCCTCAGAACTAGTGTGTTGACTAGTATGTGTGAGGTCCTGGATTCAATTCCCAGTACCAGGAAAAAAAAAAAAAGTGTACAGGAGGCTGAGAGAAAATATTTAACATAATCAACAAACATTCAAAATGTAATACTCCCATAATATATAAAAAGCTCCTGCAAATCAATGGTAAGTGGGACAATCCTACACAAAGGGAAAACAGAAAAGAATTAGTAGCTCGAAAGAGAAAAATACAAACCTCAACCTCACCAGCAATCAAAAAAAAATTTTAAAAGTGATACATCATTTCCTGTTATCTAATTGGGAAAACCATTGACTGTGTACCATGCTCAGAGTGAATATACAGATTACAGGCCCTTTGATAAACTGATGATGGGACAGTAAATTGGCACCATGTTTTTGAAAGTCAATTTAGTAGTATTTATCAAAATTTAAATGTACACAAGTATCACCCACCAAAATTATACCTGAGCTGCAGAAATACTCATACAAGTTCCCAAAGGATGTTCATGGTAAGAACCTAAATACTCATCTATAAGGCAATTATCAAATAAATGATGCCTACTCTGGCTATTGTGTAGTCATTGAAAAGAATAAGATGGATCTATAGGGGCTGGGGTTATGGATCACAAGTAGAGCACTCGCCTGTCACGCGCAAGGCCCTGGGTTCGATCCTCAGCACCTCATAAAAATAAATAAATAAATAAATAACATTTTTGTGTCCAACTACAACTACAAAAAAATAAGTATTTAAAAAAAAGATGGATCTATATATACTGATGTAGAACAGATCCATGAGGCATTGTTAAGTATAGAGCAATCGAATTAATAAAAAATATCTTCATTTATTAAAGAAAGAAGGAAGGAAAATATATGTTTGTGTTTGTATGAAGGAAAATCTGGAAAGTTCTACAAGAAGCTATAGAGGGTCATTTCCTTGGTGAAAGATATGGGTGAACAGAGAAAGGGAAAGGATCGGAAGGGAGACTTTCAAGTTTGACTTTCTATGCTTTTTCTATTGCTTGTATTTTTTATAATATGCATTGCTTTATTTTTATAATACTAAAGCAGTTCAATTTAAGAAAAGGTTTACTGGGTTCAGCAGCCCAGCTGCGGCTGGCAACCTTAGGAAAAGCTGTTTCAGTGGAGTGATAGGAAGGAAGCCTGCTGCAGGATTCATTGAGGAGGAAACAGGAGGTGAGGAAGCCAAGGCAGCAACCGCTATTTTTTGCACTAAATTTGCCCATGAAAAGGAGAATACAGCGGAATAGAAGGTCAAGGGCTCCCAGGATGGAGAAAGGTGAGAAATTGAGAAAGACATAAGCAAGCTCAGAGCAGAAGGGAAGGAGTCCTTGAGGGACAAAGGGGACAGAAGCCAGGATCCTCAGAGAATGGGTGAGGCAATGGATCCCCCAGCTAGGGGAAGGGTTGTCAAGAAACAGCAGAAGGAACACTTTGTGCTGACCCTCTAAGAAAGGAAGAAGCTGTTCATGCAAGTTCAGGCTGGCAGCTGCGGGGAAGCGCGCCTGCATCTTCCCTGTTGAAAAGGAGGTGCGGACTCAGCAGTCCGAGAGGCAGACCTCCACCTTCAGGCTGGCAGGCTCTCCGGGAGCCA